TTATAATGCTTAACAAGTGTTTAGTCCATTCCCTATTGCTGTAACAATGTACCTGAGGTCTATAATACATAAATAAAAGACATTTATTATGGTCACAGTTTGGAAGGCTAACAGTCCATAATTGAACCACTCCATCTGTTCATCCTCTGGTGAGAACCCCTTGAGTGTGTCCCCACATGGTCAATGACACCATGGTGGGGATTCCTATGAGAGGGACAGATCACATGGTGAGATAGGGAGCCAGAGAGCACAGAGGGGCCAGTTATGCATTTCTTTAACAACTCCTTCTTTCAACAAGTAACTCCACAACACCAGCAATGCAATTAAAGAGAAGAGCCCTCCTGGTACCCCCAATTCTTAAGTTTTGCCCACCCTTATCACTAAGGACCAAACCTTTAGCATATGAACTTCTAGGGTATTGATATGGCTTGTGTCTAGGTGTTCATTAGAAGCCTCATGTGATGAGGCTTTGTAAAGATGGCTGCATGTAGAGTGTGTGATGGTGGGATTAAGGGTGTGTGCTGCTGGGATTAAGGACATGATGCTGGGGTTGATTCACATTGTGATGCTAGGATTAAGGGCATTGCTACATGCCCTGAGTGATATAATATAAAAGACAGAAAGGGTCTGCTCTTGGTGTAATTTGTCCTTGCTGCCTGCCTTTAGCCTACCATGAACTCTTTCTTCTGTCATGCCTCTCTGCCATTCCAACCTGCCTTAGACCCAGTTGATTATAGACTGAAACTTCTATAAACTGTGAGCTAAATAAACCTTTCCTCCTTTAACTTTGGGTGTTGGTATTTTGTCTCAGTAACAAGAAATAAGTAACTAAGACAGGTATCAAACATATCAGCGTATCAAATTACAACACCCACATGTAGCATAAGCACACTTCATGGGAAGAAGATGGAATAAAGTATGAGCACTGCACTTAGTGTGTGTCTGGAGATTTAGGGCCAGAGTGTGTGTTCTGGAAGTAAGCAATGAAGGCTGGGTACAAGATTGACTGTAAGACTGGATGCCTTTTAGAGAGCAACCTTTGATTCCAGAAACCCAGCAGAATTTATTTCATTGCCCTGACTAGTGCTCCTTTAATTTCTGGAGGGGAACTACAATACTATATAGAACAAGAATTATCAAAGCTATGTAACTTTCACTTCAGTTGAGACTTTGGTTCCAAATGACAGTGCAGGTTGTGATACAGGGTAAATATAACTCCCAACTCCTGGGTGTCAGATATGCAGCATTTGTGTACCCCAAAATCTAAGGAAGAGTGGAGGTTAAAAATAGGAAAGATTAACTGAGAAATAGCTCCTGAGAGATAAGAGGGAACTTGAAAGTTGGTTGCTGGGCTGGAGAGATAGTTTAGTAGTCTAAGCACCTGCCTGGAAAGCCCAAGGACCTGGATTTGATCCCTGATACTGTGTGCCATGGTGGCTACAGAACCCCAGGAGCACCAAGCCAGCCACTGAAACCAGGTTTGGTAGGTAGCACATGCCTGTAATCCTAGCACTGGAGAGGCTGAGACAGGAGGATCACTATGAGTCTAAGCTGCATAGTGAGACCCTGTACTAAATATAAATAAATTAATTAAATTAAAGATTTTTAAATTAAAAAAAATTGGTTGCCACCAAGGCCATTTCTCCAAAAATGTTATATAAGAGCAAAATCACAGAGTGGTTAAAAAGGATTGTGAGGTAAGTATAACATGGATGAAACTGTAATCAACCAATAAGATTACAAGTGTAGCTGCTTAGCTAATACTGATCTAATAGATAAGCAGGTCATGAAACGAGTACATGGACGACAAAGCCATTTGGGGGAAGGAATGAGTACAGATCCTTTGCTCCAGGTGAGTGACCTCATGCCTATCTGGACTTTACCAGACCATGTGATACCAATTATGGTATAATCCTTTGGGGAGTAGGTATACCTAGTCATTGCATCCTTTTTTTTTTTTTTAATTTTTAAAAATTAGGACTTGGTGGGCATTCTGTTTGCCTACATTAGTTTCACTCTGTCTCAGATTCTACTTCTGTAGTGAGATAAAAAGGATTTTTTTTTTTTTTGCTTGAGAAGTAGTAGTACACAAAAGGAAGTGTTTTCTTTCTTTCTTATACAGAATATGGCCTTTTCTGTCCTGCAGGTTTTTCAGGTAAACCTCAGCACATGGGAAAAGAAAGGAGGAAAGTTTATGGGTATGAGGAGAAATATGAATGTTTTCTTTTTTCTTTTTCTTTTTTTTTTCTAACCCTAACCCTAACCCTTGAATCTGTTTTCTTGTTGGGGGGAGGGGGGGGAAGCTAGCTACCAGGAAAAAAGAAAGGCCATATCCTTGTAAATTTTATCTTTTAATCCTGTGTTATGATACCACCCATTTGAACAGTAGTCAATAAAATTCCCTTTCAATTGACCAACATAGTCAGTTTTCCTCTTCCTTGGGGAAAAAGGAGGCTCGATGTTTGGGGGGACAGATCTGAGAACAAGAGTACTTGAGTCCAAACTCAGAAACTATCATTTAGGGTAAGATGAACTATAGAGGATCTTCAATACAAAACAGGAGTGTTGGGGGCCTGCCCCTTAGCTCAGTTCCTTAAGTGGCTGCTTCAACAAAGCAGTCAGGCTCAGGTTGCTGTGGTTCGATCCCCACAACTCAAGCTAGCCAAACCTGCCCTGAAGGCATTCGGAGCAAAAAAACAAAAAAACAAAAACACCCCAGAAGTATTTAAACTTTTTTTCAAATTCCCACTGGATTTTGAAGTGAAACTTGGTTTTTCATTTCATTTTAGGAATTGGAAAATGATACGGGTTTTCAGCAAGCAGTAAGAACTAGTCATGGCAGAAGACCTCCAGTAAGTAAAATTGGAAAAAATTATGGCAAAAATGACACATACAGTTTACCATTTTAACCATTTTCAAGTGTCAGCCCATGTAAGTGTTAAGTACATCCACATTACTGTGAAAAAAATCTTCAGAACACTTTCATCTGTAATCTGAAACTCTGTATTCATTAAACAACAGCTCATGGTCTGTATCTCTCAGTGCCCAGTAACCACCATTCTGTTGTCTGTGAACTTGACACCTCAATTCCTTTCTTAACTGTAATCAAAGAGTTACTTACCTTTTTGTGACTGACATGTTCCACTTAGTATAATTTCTTCAAGTTGTATGTGTGTTGTACCATGCTGTACGATTTTCTCCTTTTTAAGGTTTCTGTCGTTTATGTGCACACCTTTTCTGTTGACTCATTTTCACTGGACACTTGTCATTTGTCACTGGCCCATTTTTGTTAAGTTGTAGGAGGTCTTTATATATTTTAGAATCAGTGTCTTTTGAGATATATGATTTACAGTATTTTCTCCCATTCTGTAAGTTTCATTTTCAAGTTGTTGATTATATTCTTAGGTACACAACTGTTTTTAATTTT